TACGGTATGGCCACTCAAAAATATATTAAATAACATATGGAAAACGTGAAATCTTTTCAAAAAGGGTAAGAAAAAAAAATCAAGCCTTTTTTTTTTAAGTATAATTAACATACACATACAACATATTGATTCCACAATTCTGTGCATTACTCAATGCTTACCATGATAAGTGTAGTCACCATCTGTTACAACGTTACTATAATAATATTCAAACTGTGTTCTTAATAAAGGACACAAATGGATCCCGTTGGTACTAAATAAGGTATACTGAAAGCTTCTAAACAGGCCATTTCAGCAGTGTCCTAACTGCTACCAGATCTGCAACTTTTATGGCCTTAGACGAACGACAGTGCCCTGAGCAAGGGACAATAAGATCTATCAGGCATGCAAAGAATTGCCTGTCCATGCTGTTGCACTGAGTGCGGGAAGGGAGGAGGAGGAAATGACACAAGAAAATTAAAAAAAATCCCAGAGACAGAACTAGTGGGTGGTTTTAATTCCAGCAAAAAATAAAATAAAAGTTGCCTTTTACAAGGAAGATGTCAGACTTAAAGTCATATGGGGGCTGGATCTCTGAACACACACAGACTGAACACACCTCCTCCTTCACCCAATGGGAAATGTTTGTTTTTCAAGCCAGGCTGTTTTATATTAGTATGTGTAATAGTCAAAGTGTCACAATAATTGCTAATGTTTTGGGGTTTTTTTCTCTCTCTCTTCTTGGTGAGTTATCAAGCCTTCCAGCAAGAAATGGTCAAAACACTGCTATTGGTTTTCAATCATTAGCAAACATTTAGAATAATACTATCAAAAATAAAACCTTAAAATAAAAATAAAAACTAAAGAGGCACCTGGGTGGCTCAGTTGGTTGAGCATCTGACTCTTGATCTCAGCTCAGGTCCTGATCTCAGGGTTGTGAGCTTGGGCCCCGTGTTGGGCTCCACACTGGTTGGAGCCTACTTACAAAAAAAAAAAAAAAGAAAAGAAAAAAATAAAAAACCAGAGAGTGGGAGGATGTTGATACAGAGCTGCCCACTTACACAGAGGCATTTGCCAAGTACAGGGAGATTAAAAAAAAAAAAAAAAACCATACACACACACACACATACACACACACACATCATCCATTATTATCATAATTTTCTAAGAGAAAGAATATTTTAATGTCAGAAAGTAAAAATGACATAATCTTTAAAAAAAGATTTTATCTGTTTGCCCATCACCACATCACCAGAAATGGCTAAACAGATTTTCACATGGAACGTATGGTTTGGATGACGTAGTAAGTTGGCTACCTGGACAAGGGTAGACTGCATTTCCCAGCTGCCCTCACTGGTAGGCAGGCCACTGAAGCTAATGTAGCCAATGGAAGATGAGTAGAAGTGACCTACTCCACTTAGAGCCTGGTCCCTAAACCTCCCACATATCCTCCTCCATGTTCTTAACCTTCTATGGCTGGACAGTGATGCCCAGGGCAACCTTTAAAGCTAAGTGTAGTCAAAGGGGGAGCCTCGGGCGCCTGGGTGGCTCAGTTGGTTAAGCAACTGCCTTCGGCTCAGGTCATAATCCTGGAGTCCCTGGATCGAGTCCCGCCATCGGGCTCCCTGCTTGGCAGGGAGTCTGCTTCTCCCTCTGACCCTCCCCCCTCTCATGTGCTCTTTCTCATTCTCTCTCTCTCAAATAAATAAATAAAATCTTAAAAAAAAAAAAAAAGGGGGAGCCTCTGTCTGCCTGGAACTCTCCCTCAATAACTGTGGGCCATAGGGTACTCACCCCAAACCACTTTGGCCCATCATGTAAAGAGAGAAATAAATTTCTATTATGCTTATACCATTACACATTTTGGAATTATTACAGCAATTAGCCCACATATAATTTCAAATATGAGCTATGGATCAATAATAAAAAGACAATCTAGGTTTTTAAAGGACAAAAGACTTAAACAGCTATGTCAAAAGAACATACACCAGTGGTCAATAAGCACATGAAAAGACGCTCAGTTCTCACTGGTCATCAGAACAATGCAAATTAGAACCACAATGAGACATCACTTCATACCCACAAGAATGGCTAAAATTAAAAGACTGGCAACACCAAAGTTGACAGAATGTGGAGCAACTGGAACTCTCATACACAGCTGACGGAAGTGTAAAATGGTATAAATGCTCTGGAAAAAGGCTTTAGCAGTTTCTCATAAACTATTCACTTACCCTATGACCCAACAATTCTACTGCAGGTATTTCCTAAGAGAAATGAAAGCATATGCGCACAAAAATATTTGTTTAAGACTTTTCATTGCAGCTTTATTCATAACAGCCAAACAATGGAAATAGCCCACATGCTCAGCAACAGGATATACAAATGGTGCTGTATTCATCCAATGGAATACTACTCAGCAATAAAAATAACAGACTACTGATACAAACAACATCATGAATAAATCTTAAAACATTTTTTTCTTTTTTTAATCTTGAAATATTTTTGCTGAATGAAAGAAGTGTTAACACACAAAAGTACATAAGCCAATGGTTAAAAAGAAATCAAAATGGCTGTTGCCTGGGGCAAGATTGCAAGGGCTGCAGTAAATCACTGGGAAACAGCATGAGGGGACTTTTCCAGGGTAACAATAATTGTCTATGTATCTTGATGAGGGAATAGGATTCACAGGTGTATATGTTTATCAAAATATCATGCAATGGTACACTTACTATTTGTATATTTCACAGTACATATTACCTTAAACACATAAACATTGAACTCTCCTTTGCATGCCTAGTGTTTAGGGGTGAAGCCTACAGATGTCCACAGTCTACTCTAAAATGTACCCACAAGAAAGGGGGAGGTTAATGGATATACAAAGGGATGGACAAATAGAATAACATGTAATATAAGATACATAGCAAAATGTGGTGAATATATAAGTATACACTGCATGATTCCCTCAACTTTTCTGAATGTTTGAAATTTTCCATAAAAAGCATTGGAAAATTATAAAGGGTACGGGACATATGCAAAATTCCCTTTGGAGGATCAGGGGAGGAGGTCACCTCAAAGAAATAAGCAGTTTTCACCAAGAGCAGCTAAAAGTGAAGAACAACAAGACATTAAAGTGACTGCCAATCAGGACCATGTACACAGTGCACAGACATGCCATAGGCAGAGGAGACAACAGTATTTCAACTATGAGCCCCCCATTATAGATGTGTTCTCATGAGCCAGATGTTTCACACATGGGCGACCATGTAGGGTAAATCGCCACTAGTGTTGTAATGATTTAACAACAGTTAATGATTCTCAAAATTAAGAGGCAAGCTAGTCTCAGAACAAAGTGGGGGGGGGAAGGGTCCTTTAAAAATGAATAAATTGTGCTTTATGAAAAACTTATTACATTGTCCATATTTTTCTCAGTTCACAGAGTATCATGAAAACTTCAATGTGAATCAGGATTTAGCAACCACTAGATGTAGAAAGAATTCTGCTCCCCAGCAGCTAAGTTCTAATCTTGTCTCTGCCACTAACTAGCTGCCTGTCCTTAATAAGACTCTAAGTCTCTCTGGTTCACTTCAGGAACTCATGAAAAACTGAACTACCCTCCTGGCATATAATAAAGGACAAAACAAGAAGAGAGATGTGCCAGGCCCTTAGAGGGGCATAACCTTCTCAAGAGCAGGGAATTATAAAGCAATCCATGGGCACTTAGCATTAATACTCCAGTTCATGAATACTAACCCAGTTTTGAGAAAGAGCATTGAGATGAGAAAAGGCATGGCTCTAGCCCTCTCTCTGCCATGGGAAATGGCCAAGTCTCTCAAGACTCTCTGGACCAATATGACCAGAGAAGACTCAGATCAGAAGCACTCCCAACTAATCCAACCTGCTCAAAGATGTTCTTTGAGACTCTGCGCCCCTGGACACTGGCCAGGAATGCCTCACCCACCACCACGGAGCTGAACTCCTTTCTCATCTTTAAAGTTCTTGTTCAGATATCACGTGCTTTGGGAAGCTTTCCAGCCAAGTCCCGTCACTCCCTTGACACTTTACAAATAACCTGTATTAGAGCCCTCACCACGCCGTATGGTAATCATTTGTTTATCCGTGTTGTCTCCCTGACTAGATTTGCAGCTTCTCTAGGCTCTAGTTCTTGCCTCACTGGCATTTGTACACCTTGTCTCAGCACAGTGACTAGCACAGGCAGGCACTCAAAGAATACGTGTGAATAAACGCATTAACCAATCCCTAATGTCGCTTCTAGCTCTAAAATGTTAGGCATGGTGTTTTTAAATGCAAATGAAATCATGGCCGTAAAAATTCTTTATTTCGTCGTTGAGTGCCGCGCGCACGGGGCATCTGGTATTGTGACTGCTGTTGGGGATATCGAGATGATAAAGCACGATCCCTGCCCCCACAGCACCCCGCAAATATGGAAGCTTGTAGTTATTGCTGGAGCTAGGTCAAGGCGAGAGGCCCGTTCCCATTTCCCCCCTCACTTCCTTTCTTGCAGCTGTAGCTCTCTGCCTCTTTCCCCACGAGCCTTCATTCCTCCCTCAAACTGCGACCTCTGTCCCAGCTGGCAAAACTGCAAAACTCGGAGCCAATCACCCACGCCCTGCGGCCAACGACAAAACCTGCAGGCGTGCCCCCCAGAACCCTCGCCTCTCCTCCCCGCGAATGGAACAGTCCACCGGGACTGAAAAGCAGCGCCCACCCTGGCCCGTGATCAGCGGTACAGCCCCCGCAACGCCGCTGCGCTGGCGAAGCCGGGCCGTTACTTGCCGACGCCCAGCTCTCTGCGCGAGCCTTCGGGCCGGCTCGGGGGACGCAGGCTATACCTGCGCGGCCCGCTGCTCCTTCCAGAACTTCATCTGGTCGCTGGCTGGATCCCGGCTATCCGCCATGGCGTGCGACTGGCTTCGCAGAACGTAGCAGGCAGCCTCGGCTGACGCACCCCTCTACCGGCGCGCGACTGAAGTAGGCGACTTCGGACTCCGCCCCTCTTGTCCCGCCCCCCGCGAGGAGACCGCCTCCTGATTGGCCGCTCCAGCGCCAGGCAGGATGGGATGGGACCCAAATGTGGGCGGGAGGAGACGGACGAGGCGCAGGGTCCCCTCTGGAGGGAGACGGAACCCCGGGACATGGAGAGGCCAGAGAGGTGTGTGAAAAGGGAGGGGAGCCCGACCCCCAGCCCTGGGGTTTATGAACCCAGATCTGGGCCCCGCCTGTGAGGCCCCGACTCTCGCCTCAGGTTTTCAGCATCCTTCGGGCTGCCCCGCGACGCGACGGCTGGCGGCCTACAGGTCTTGCTGAGGGAACGCTTAGGCGCTGCTGGGTGGGGCTTTGCACTCTAAACGCGATCTCAGCTCTTAGTAAGTCAGAAATCCTGGGTTGAATTCCTTTGTGCAAAATGAATTTTTGACTTACCCTAATGTTAGTATCGTTTGCAACTGAGGGATTGATGGGAATTTGGAATAAATGCAAACACTGATTGCGCAGTGAAGTTTTAACCAGTCGTGTTACTCCCAAATGTCACGTTAGTGTTCCTGGACCACAGACTATGTATACAGAAAAACTGCCTTTTTAAAAAAACACGGGGAAATGAAACATTGACAGGTTCTTAATGGTCTTAATAGTGGCAAATCCTTAGGAAGGAAGTTCCCTTTTGGCTGAGCAGCTCCACTTTTTGGAGTGTCTACCGTGTGCTGAATGCTGCTAGATGTTTGCTAGACTGTATCAGTTAATCTTTACAACAGCCTCGTGACTCGTGATGAAAGTTTGGTTATCCCCCACTTTAAATATGAAGAATCTGAGGCTGAAAAGAGGTGGAGGAACTTGCCAAAAGCTTAAAAACCAGCAAAATGTCAGAGCCTAGATCCTCAGTCTTCTGATTTCAGAGCCTGGACCCTGAACCACTGTTCCATCCAACCTTTCGAAGAATAAGAATTTTGAAAAATTCTAAGAATTTTGGAACTCTTACGTTTTTAAAGAGCCATGTTGGAAAATTAAATATTTGTAAGCTATTGACTCCTTTGTCATTGTATTCAAATGGACTGAATGATTCCTCCCCCCCTTCAGGTGCTAGGATTTCTTTTTAAACACCTTAATACACATAAACATACCATAATCTTCAAATTAAGAGTGCTCAACTTCTAGATTTTACTTTTTTCAGTAAAGCTACAAATAATGGGTGGGCATATGACAGTGGAAATTTCAGAAGTTCTTGATTTTACAAAAGCGTGATATCAAGAACCTGTCATAAAAGTTTAACTTCTGCAGTTCATTGAAAAAGCAGCCCCAAAATCAATCTTCAGTGCCCTGTATTTTTCCTTCATCACACTTACTCAACTGTGAAGATGCTGTTAGCTGTGTGATTTGTGTGATGTCTTTTGGTACCCACAACTCAGGAAACTGAGGCATAGAGAGGTTAAATAAGTAACTTGTCCAAGATTACACCATTATTAGGGCAGAGAGTCAGGATTCTAGCCCTGACCATCTCCTGAGCTCATGACTCGTTGAATAAATAAATGTTGAAAAAATCAAATTAATAATTTTCTTCATTGACTAAATTTCAACAAAGTAAATAAAAAGAGACCTGATGTCATGTGTTAACCTTTGTTCTTTACATGAGCATTGTCCTGTTTATTTTTTTTTTCTCTGTTTCCTTTAGTGTTGGTTTGGATTCATGAGGAATTTCCACTGAAAGAGAAATGGAGAAACAAGACACTTTCAGATCATGTCATATCTTGTACATTAAAATAAGGTATGTGCTTTCAAGTATGACAATGAATTTATTTTGGCTACATACCTAGTATTATATTCATTGACTTTACAACTATCATTTTATTATAGTTTAAGTGAAAACACTTCTAAAAATCAGCCCTAGTTAAAAAATACATTAAATCTATTTGATTCCTAAAGGTACTTCCAAGTGATTGGCTCAGTAAACAAATTTGGTCCCAGATTTTTATATTTTATTAACATAAACACATGAGTATTTTCGTTGGTATTGAGTAAAATAGTTATTTAGAAAATGCTGTTCTCTGGGCGCCTGGGTGGCTCAGTCATCAAGTGTCTGCCTTCAGCTCAGGTCATGATCCCAGGGTCCTGGGATCGAGTCCCACATCGGGCTCCCTGCTCAGCGGGAAGCCTGCTTCACCCTCTCCCACTCCCCCTGCTTGTGTTCCCTCTCTCGCTGTCTCTTTCTCTCTGTTAAAAAATAAATAAAATATTAAAAAAAAAAAAAAAGAAGAAAGAAAATGCTGTTCTCTGATTATTCAGAGCCCAGTGAAATAAAATGTACTGGCACAAAACATAATGTTGTGAATCCTGATATCACCAAATCTAAATCCAAGCTTACAAAGTAGACCATACAATAAATGCTGAAGAGAAAATCTGGCCACGTAACTAGGAACCTTTATTGACAAATTGTCTTTAATCACTTACTTGAAAGAAAAGAATGGAGAGGACAAATTATGTTTTGTTGGATGACAGGTACACAGAGCAGGAGGGGCAGTAACAGAAACCGAGATTATTCTTCCTGTTCTGATTCCACCCACCCTCTGAGGGGCTGAGAATGTTCCACATATTTTTATTTCATTCTTTCACAGTGGCCTGGTGGAGTAACTTGGGGATAGAGACAGTGGGAGAAAAAAGGAACAGAGTGTCAAAGAAAAGAGATGTTTTACAATCCAGAATGCCCTGTGAGGGGAGGACAATGAACTCTACCACAGCTGTATGTTTCCAACCCACGGTGGGCTAGGCCTGAGCAGACAGGAGAGGGAAGCAGAATTTGCAAAAAGTGCCAGTGGTTTTATATGTGGTAGTGGCATGTACCCTCTACTCTGCCTGCTTTGCTTTACCATACCTTACTCCTGCTTTAATAAGAACAATTACTTAGGAGGAGGTAGCCCACATGTCCTTTGGTGTCTGGTAGTGGCCATAGTTGGAACTATCCGGAAGGAAGAAAATCCATGTGCTTTTTCTCCCCCAGGCCACATGTTCCTTGTATTGATCTGGGTGTTTTAGAAAAAGGAAACACAGGAATAAGAATTTGGCATTTGTTATTACCCTAACTTCTTTTTTCTGATTTTAAAAGTAATGAATGCCCACTAATGGGGGCTTAGAAATATAAAATAATATGTAAAATAAACAGTTATCCAAGGATGGTAATAAACAGAGATCTTTCTTGCTGATATTTTCTCTTATGTATGTAATGTATGTTTGTGTGTGAGAAAGAAAGAGAAAGAGAGAGACTAATAATGGATCATACAGAACATATAATTGTGTGTGCTGCTTTTTTTTTCAACTATTAAATCTGTTTAGTAAAAACAATTTCGCTCATACAAAACAACAACAGTCTACACCAATCTGAGTGCTGGACACACCATCAGAGACAGGGAGGCACCGCGGGCACTCGGAGCCCTTCCCCGATGCCCAGAGAAGACCCTGGGTGCTCCTTGCCCCTGAGGGAGATGAGAGCTGAAGTATTACTGCCACCCCCTGCCCCAAAAAGACCATGGCACAGAGCACTTCTCCTCATGTTGCTCATTAATACTGGGTCAGGGCCTTCCCCTCACTGGCGGAGACCCAGGAAGCTGAGTTGTTTGGGAGGGGCGGGTAGTGAAGTGGCTAATGGGTAAGGAGCAGAGTCGAGACATCTTTGGTGTGAAGACCCTCACCCACACACCCACAAGCTGCTTTTTTTTAAACTTTCAAAACATTTCATTTCCCCTGAATTTCATGTGATACAAAAGTATTACATGCTTAAACCTGTCATCCAAATAGAAGGCTCTTTCCATCCTTCAGGCCAACTTTCCTCAGAGGCAAATAAGAAACAAATCATATTCTGTAGATCATATATGGAATATTTTCCTTTATGGGAACAAAAATATTTAGACATGATATCTGTATAGCTTAGCATTCCAGTTTATGTTGATAAATTTAGTTAATTGTTGGGAGGTACATTACATATTCAAAAGAACTCAATAGACAGCACATAGCTTAATCCTTGATTAAGGACAAAGCATCTGACAGCTTTTTTTAATTTTATTTTTTTAAAAATACGCCATTTGTGGGGCGCCTGGGTGGCTCAGCCATTAAGCATCTGCCTTCAGCTCAGGTCATGATCCCGGGGTCCTGGGATCAAGCCCCACATCCGTCCAGCTCCCTACTCCGCAAGGAGGCTGCTTCTCCCTCTCCCACTCCCCCTGCTTGTGTTCCCTCTCTCGCTGTCTCTCTCCATCAAATAAATAAATAAAATCTTTTTAAAAAGAGAGAGAGAAGATACGCCATTTGTAAATTCAAGTTTGGTTAGACCTTTTTATGCTTAGTCTTTCTGCTCAATCTTTTGAACACTTGCATTTTTTTCATTTTGTAGAGCTTTTGAACTTTGTGTCTCTCATTTTCTCCTCTCAGATTCTTGTTTCTTAGTAGCACACTTAGCTTGTACTTGTTCACTTTTTTCTTGTGCTTTTTCATTTGATGATTAATTTTTCTTTGGAATAGTAATGAAGTCTACACTTTTGCTACGTTCTTCTGGCTGAGGCTGGTCAACTCTGTAGTGTTCTTCACACAAAGCCTGGTCAATGCTACATTGGTCTTCTGGCAATGGCTGGACACCTTGTTCTACTGACAGAGGCCACTTAACTTTTTTAAATTGCTTCCTGAGCCTTTCCTCTTCAGCTAATTAGAGATGTTTCAGGTTGTCAGAGCATCCATCTGCGAATAGGGATTCCTATGAGGTTTGAACCTTCTTTTCCTTCCATAGCAACCTCTTGTCATTTAGCTGAATCTTCCATTTTCTTGAAATGCAGAGTCTGTCCGTCAGGAATGCTCCTCCCCAAAATGGTTAGGTCCCTACAACTGTGGTTTAAATTTCTTACTCCTGAATCCGACTAGAAACTTCATTGCCATGTATCCCAAAACTCTGTCCACCATCTTGCTGCCAGCCTCTCTGGCACCATGGCACAAAAACCATGTCCTGTGTCCTGCTTTTTTTGCTTAACCTTGTGGAATGAAATTCTCCCTGATTCATTAAATAGTCTTTGAAAATATTTGTGTGTGTGTGTGTTTTGTTTTGTTTTGTTTTTTAAAAGATTTTATTTATTTATTTGAGAGAGAATGAGAGAGAGCACATGAAGGGGGCGAGGGTCAGAGGGAGAAGCAGACTCCCCGCTGAGCAGGGAGCCTGATGCGGGACTCGATCCAGGGACTCCAGGATCATGACCCGAGCCGAAGGCAGTCGCTTAACCAACTGAGCCACCCAGGCGCCCGTGTGTGTGTTTTCATGGTTGCACAATGTGCAATCAAAAAACTGATCCCTTATTTACACATTCCCTTACTGGAAACATTTAATTTTCTTCTAGTATAAATAACAGTATAGTGAACATCCTTCTTTTGTATTTGTATTTACTTCCTTAGGACCTATTTCTAGAAGTAACTTTTGGTTCAAATCATATCAACATTTGAAGTCCCTTGTGATATATTGTCCATTGTTCTCTACAAAACTTGAGCCAGCTGACACTCACCAACACTGAGAGTGAGGACTGGAAATAAAATTTTAAAGATAGGTAAGTAGTTAGATTCTAGATGCCTATACAATGCATATCTTATTAGGTTGTTCAGAAAGAACAACACCTCTCGTATTATATTGAGCCATTACCACCACACCTATGGGATTCATTCCATCTAGTGAATGTCTACAGTGTCCTGTGTGCTCTGCCTGCTTGACTTTGGGAACATAGCACTAAAGGAGATGGGTATGGGCAAAAACAAAACAAAACCAAAAGCAAACAAACCGCCAGGAAATAACACAGTGTGAAGAGTTTTCTGAGAAAGGAAATAGAGCTGTTGCAGTGGTACCAAAGAAAGTCACCTAACCTGAACTTGAGAGGTCATGGGAGGCTTCCTCAAGGAAATAATGGCCAAATGAATTAGCCCCACTGTGGCCACAGAAATCTGAAGAGATTTCTTCCATTCTTTCTGGAAAGCCTGACTTCATCAGTGATGGTGTTGTGACACCTTGAATAGAATGAGAAGAGCAAGCAAACATTTGCAGCTGGGGTTGAGCCTTTCTCAAGTTTGCCCAAGCATGCTGGCCTCTCTGTCTGACTCAGACTGGCTTTGGCTCCTGCTGCTCATCCACTCTCCTTCCTCATCTTTCCCTCCCTTGCAAGACCTGTACAAGTCCGTCGTGTTAACTACTGGGATGCTGTGCCTGGCTTGAGTTATGTTCCAGGGCTGCTGTCTTTGAGGTATTTTGATGGTCTCCTTGGTATATGCTGTTAAGTGTTGCATTTGTGCTTGACTCTGGGCTTAAATCTGTATGCAGAAACCAGACTTGGTTCTTAAACTCTGACAATTCGAAAAAATGACAAAAACCTCATAGATAAATCAACACATTCAATATGGATTGAGACCACACAATTATGTATCTGTGAAGAAACTAATAGTTATAATTTGTACATGTTGAGTGGAACTATTGGTTGTAGCAGGGGATGTAGACCAGGAGGACTAGGACAGGTATCTTTCTCCCCCTTTCTTTCCCATGAACCCAGATCATAGACCAGCAGGACTTCAAGAGGCAAAATGACATGATGCACAGTTAAAAGTCTCAGCTCCAGCATCAGAGCACTTGGATTTGAATCCCACTATGGCTTCTTACAAACTGAGTCACTTAATCTTTCTAAGCTTCCATTTCTCTCTTGTAAGATGGAGATATTAACACCTTCTAAGCTGCTAAATGAAAAGAACCCCCCCAAAAAATACCATGACTTAAACAATATAAAAGTTTATTTCTCTCATACAAAACATCTCAGACCTAGATTGCACGGCTGGTTAGGCAGTTCAGCCATCCTTGATATGAGGCTTTCATCTCCGAGTCCCAGGTGTCTGTCCCCCCTCCCTCGGCCATAACTGTATGCCAACCAGTGAGAAGGGGACAAAGGAGCAAAGGGAGCATACGCCTGTTCCTTTTGAAGGCATAACCTGGAAATGGCACACTTAATTTCTGCTCACATTCCCTTGGCCGGAATTTGGTCACATGGCCATGCCTCACTGTTCAGGAAGCTGGGGGATATAGTTGCCAGCTGTGCGACCATGTGCTTGGCAAAACTCAGGCATTCTATGATAAAAGAAGAAAGGGAAAATGGAGATTGGTGGTCAACTGGCAGCATCTGCCATGCTAACGTCATTGGGTTGTTGCGAAGATCAAGAGAGATGGAGCGCACAGTAGGCCTTAGTGACCAGCATTTCCCAGGATTGCTCTTAGGCCACACATGGCTCTTTCACGGACTGCTACAGCTCTTGAGGAAATACAGCACACTTGGCATTAGGGTGTTATATTACAGCCCACCCTTACAGAATGTGCTGGAGTGAAGAGAATGCCTCTGGCCACTGCAAGTGTAGCTCCAGGTCGACATAGTGATAAACAAGGACCAGCCACTGCCCTAAACCATACCTTCCTGTTCCATACAACCGCCATCTCAAACCTATTTTATTTATTTAATAAGCAGGTATATCATCCCTACAATGTCCCAGGTTCTACTCTAAAAGCATCCCCCAATATTAACCCATGTAATCTTTACAACAACCCTGTAAAGTATGAACTCTTATTATCTTCCTCTACATATGAGGACACTGAGATACAGAAAGATAAAGTAACCTCCCAAAGTCACATAGCTAGTTAGTGGTAGGGCCAGGATTCAAACCAGGCCCCAGAGGTCACATCTGAATTTCGACATGGTCCTGCTTGCCACAAAGCAAGCAGGAATACAGGAAGATCTGGGGTGAGTGTCCCACATTCTTAGAGCACAACTGAAGCATCCTGCCTCCTCCTCTCCACCTGCAGACCTGGCTTTCTGGGAAGCACACTGATGTAAACCAACTGTGAGCCCCACATAGGTGAGAAAGACCACAAGAAAATGACATTCCAGAGTGTCTTTGAAAGAAATAATGAGAAGTAGTTGTGATACAAGAGCATTACAGCCCTAGGGAACCATATGGGATTGAGGGGTGACCAAAGGAGGTGAAAAGGGTACCAGAGGAGATGGGCCTTGTAGGGGCGGTGAGGATGAAAAGGGATGAGGAAGATCCTTAGACATCTCTCCATCCTGACAGCAAAAGGGCAGCCCGAACCTCAGACTTTGGAGATAGTAGAATGAATATTCCCTGAGAAAACATGTCCATTAAAAGACCCACTTTCCACCAGGCAAGAGGATCCATTGACCTGTATAATCACTTATATGAAACTCTTGCTCTAGAATAGCTGGACATAAGCAGATTCATTTCTGAGACATTGTGACATTAGCAAAATTCTTCCTATGGTGTCAAGTGTCAAATGCAATTGCTTCATGCAATCTGAAAACAACAGTCTATTTACTTTCTTAAAATATAAAATCTTAAAATACAGCATACAATATGTGCATTATATGTTATTATCTAGCTTACTTTCTGCCAATTGTTCAAATTTTGCCCCATTTATCCCTCCTAGCCCTCCTTCTTCATCCCCCACCTTATCTTTCTCTCAGTATTCTACTCAGCAACCACTAGAAGCTTCATTCTCTGGAACCTTGTACTGGGCTTACATCTTTCCCAGTTCCATCCCACCCAGTATTCTAAATACCAGTGAACAGCAGTCACTGTTCTTTTCCTCCTCCCTGGCCTCTGACATTTCAGCTACTTGATGGATAAATTATAGATGATTCACTAATAAAATTTTCAAAGGTAGAGTTCTTTCACTGAATGCCCTTTTAATCTCTGCCTACTCAAAGTACAGAAGTCACATTGCTCAGCCTCTGGGCCTGAAGTTTACCACGTTCCCTTCTCAGGAAGGCCTTCCCCATCACCTCCCTTAATGTTATGGCCTCCTGCAGTATTTCTGATCATACCTTCCCTGCTTTCTATTTCCCCCCGGCCCTTCTTACCTTCTAGCATACTATATAACCAACCTAAATTGTTTAACGTGTATTTCGCCACATTAAAACAGAAGCTTCAGGAGGAAAGTGGGTTTTTGTTTTGTTTTTGTTCTTCCTGCTTATCCTCAGCACCTGGAAGTTTTCTACTACTCCATAGGTGTTTGACCAACATGGACTAAATGAATGAACAAATAAATGAATTAATGGGTGAACTAATACTAGGACAAACTGTATGACAACAAAATCCCTTAAGGGATTTGATAAGATCCCTTGTTGAAATACATCCTCTCATTTCATTTTTAAATATATTTTCCTTTAGGACATGAAAGCTTTCACATGTTTAAGAGTACTCTTTTAAAAAAGAAATGTATTCCACCCATCACGAGCCTTCTGATATGCTATACCAAAAAGAACACATCACTTCTGTGGTATTCCTACCAAACATGCATAACCTGAATCTAATTGTGAGGAAACTTCAGACAAACTCAAATTGAAGGACATTCTACAAAATCATTGGCCTACACTTTTTTTTTAAATACTGGGAAAATGAAAGAGAAAGACTAAAGGACTGTCCCAATTTAAAGAAGACTAAAGAGACTTGCCAATTAAGTATAAAGTGTATTCTTAGATTGGATCTGGAATGAGTGGAAAGATTTAAAGAATATTATTGGGATAATTTACAAACCTAATATAAACTATAAATTTAATATGAATAATAACATTGTATCAGTGTTAAATTTCCTGGTTTTGATCATTGCACTGTGGTTATGTAAGAGTTCTTGGAAAATACACACTGAAGCACTTAGTGGTAAAGAGGAATGATGTCTGCAAATCACTATCAAATGGCTCAGAAAAAATACATACATACAAATAAAGGAAGCAAGCAAATGATAAAATAAACAGAGGAAAATGTAAACAATTACTGAATCTGCGTAAAGGGTAAACTGGGGATATTTGTATTATTTTTGTAACTTTCTGCAATTTTAATATATCAAAGTAAACATTTACCAAATAAATGTAAATACATTCTTTGGAGGGGTCATATATAAATATTTCCTCAGGTAATACCTTAATTATAAGTTATGTAGTAGCTGACTGAGGCCCAGAATGAAGCCCTGTTTAGGCCTTAATGTGGGGGTAAAGACGTATCAACAGCAAAAAAAAAAAAAAAAGGAAAAGGAGGAGGAAGCGGAAGCTGTTGAATTCAAACTTTACCTAGGTCACAGTTTTGCCTTGGGCCTAGTGATTTTTTTGTAGGAACAACTTAAGACACAAAGACATAAGTTAAAAAGAAAATATAAACACAGACAGACAAGCAGGCTATACAGAGAAATGGACATACAATTTTTTTAATTCTTATATATATAAGATATAATGTATTAGTACTTATAAAACCCTGAGGTCATCCAACCAAAAGTACTATAAGCTAACCTTATATTATTATCCTGAGGTAAGGAATTACTTACCAGTGAACATTTGTTTCTGACTTTTTCATTACTGTATAATTAGTTGATTATTTTAGTAAATATCAGCTATTATCTTCAAAACAAGCCCTGTTCGTATGGCCACCTTTGGTGGTGTTTGGAACATGACCTATATTGCTGTACGATCACACTGTGAAGTTTAGAGATTATTCTGTATATTGTTCCATTAACAGGAACCCTGACAATACAAGTCCTGAAGTTAATTGTGTGGGAGACTCACCCTACTTATAGCAATATGCGTTCCTTAAACAGTCTAACTTCTGATACCCAAGTGTCTATAGTAAAAATTAATCATAAAGTAAATCTTGAGCAAAGGAAAGTATCGTGATATTGGAAAGGGGTTGAGGCAGCTGAAGCCCACAACAAGCAAAGGATGCCAAAATGTCAGTCACCAAGACTCCTCCTCACACCACAGTGAACCCCACAGGGAGCCTCACAGTTGAAAGAAGGATCTAGCAGTGACTAACCACAGACTGCATGGACAGGGAATTCAACATAAACTATGGACAGAAGCATTGCATTAGGCTGGGGACAGAGCATTGTATGTGGCTTGTATGAGGAAAAGTATATGCCCTCCTTTTATCATATTCCACACGTTATTACTCTTTGTCCCTTCCAAACATACCCACACAAAAGCCCTATGCCCTAAAAAAAAAAATTATTTGTAACTCTCAGAAATACTCTATAACATGAAACACAATAGTCTATAAAATCAGCCACATAAATTGTGATACCAAAGTCAAAGTTCTAGTTGTTATGCACCAGTGTTTAAAAGAAGGGGGGGGGGGGGGGGAGAAGCATATTTGTAAAGAAAGAAACTAAAAAACAAAGTATCCTTTTGCTCATTTACACATCATCCTCCAAATACTCCACTTCCAACCATTTCAGCCACCCTTTACATGGGTTTATGACTACATCTAGGAAATGAAAAGCACATCAAAATATTGTCACTACAGCCAATATTTGTAGCAAACACTCCTTCCCTCCAAAGCATTAGAAATTTGTGGTTGTGGGGCCAGGAAGGCTGAATCATAATTCAATGCAGATGTGTCATTATTTCATACTCTTGTGGCTCTAAAAGAAACAATGACCTGGGGGGGTCAAAGCTAGTGACTCCCTGAGAGTCCAAGCCATATAGTTGGACTGAGGACAAATGTAGCTGTGGGAAGCTGGCTGCAAAGGAAGCTTAGGAGGAACCAAAGAGATAAGGGTGAATTGATGGAGATTAAATAGTCTGCCCTCATCAGAGAAAAAAAATAAAGGAAGGAAGGAGGGAGGATGGGGGGCGGGGGAGACAGAAAGGAAGGAAGGATGGAAGGGAGGGAGGAGGGAAGAAAGAAAATTTGGGAAAATAAACAGTGATCAAGACTCAACTTGGAAATACTAAGGAAGGTACTATTTGTCCAGAATAAAAAGATGGGATTTGTTCCAGCAAAGTCCTAGGAATGGTGGCTGATGCAGGAATTAAAATGGAGAGGTGGAGGAAGCAAAGTCTGACTACAAGAGACCTTTCCACTTAGAAAACATCCTATTTAGAGCAGCACCTGCCTAGGAGACAGCAGAGAAGAACATTGTGTGTTTCATCATAACTGGTTTTCAGCAGCTGCAACTGGTTAGGACTGTAAAGTTGAACGCCCTGGGGCTGGCCTGACCTCAGGGCATCCAACTGTGAAGTATTTCTTGACCAATGAACCGCAGGTCATTGTTTACAGGACCAGCATACAGGTCTATGGACTTACTCTTTCCTATCCAGGTGCTTGTTTTCATTCCCCTCGTAAAACCACTCAGTGAGTTTCTTCTGTAATAGATGTTCCATTGCCTGGTGAGTTAAGAAATACTTGACTTTTTTCTTTTTTCTTTTTTTTTTTTACAGAAGAACATGAACAAGAAAGATAAGTGATGATGTGTAAATGAGCAAAAGGTGACTCTAGTCCCCAAAACTGGATGAAGTCTGGAAAGAACCTGCTCCTGCTTCCCAGCCCCAAGTGTGGCGGCAGGGCACCTGAAGAGCTGCAGAGAGACAAGAATGGTAAGTGTGGTCTTTGTCAATGTAGTTCTTGGATCCTCACCACCACCTCCATCCCAACACCTTTTATTTCCTCATTATAACAACGGTGGAAAACTGGAAACCCCTCCCTTCCCGCTGGAGCTGTCAACACAGCTCTTCTCTTGCAGCTCAGATCACTGCTACCAACAGCACCACCGTAGCTTGGCATCGCTTCTAACAGACCCCATCGCAGTGACTATGCAACTGCCACCTCCTCTTCTTTGCTTGTCATGGCCTCCAAAAACCTTTTACTGCTCAGGCAAATACATCTCCTGACCCCTGCTGATATTCCCACCGTATAGGGAGACCAACATCCCAGTTTTGTCTGGGACCTACGGGTTTCCAGGGATGTAGGACTCTCGGTGCTAAAACAGGAAAGTCCCAGGCAAAGCAGAATAGATTGACATCCCACCACTGTAGTGGTCACCATTGCCACTGCCGCTGACTTGTGTCTTAGAATTTGAGGTGGGAACAGTGGAATCAGGAGCATACTTCTGTCCTAAGAAAAACTGGTGGGGTACCTTTTTCCTCTGCCTTGAGGGTGCTCTGCTGGGTCCCCTACCTCCATTTCCCTAGATGGAACTGTGCAACCCTAGGAAGCTGCCCTTCCTCTCTGCAGTCCACTCTCTGTCCATCCTGCTCTCCCTAGTGCCCTTATCTCCGGGGAGGACCTACCCTCACAACCAGAGTGATGTGGCCTGTACCTATAACTTACTGTGATTTCTAATATGTGTGCAGTGAGATACCATGTGGATTTCTCACTCTTTTTTTTCACTTTAAAATCTGCTAATACATTATGCTAAATGCTACCAGGTAGGGATACTTCCAGATAAGTATACTTGCAGATTTTTTTTTTTTTTTCAAAAAAAGCCTGAAATCTTTTGAGGAGAAATGTCTTAATCTCACCAAAAACTTTTTTTTAATCAAAATGGAAATTAATTTTCTGGTTTTTATAAAAGCCACACATGCTCATTTCAAGTGCTTTAGAAAACAGAGAAAGTCATATAAACTTAACCAAAAATATTATCTCAAATCCCACCACTCCAAGATAACCGCTGTTAATGGTTTTATCAATTAGATGAAATTAATATTGTGTATGTCCTTCTAGTTTTATCAATGCATATATGCTTAAATATAGAAGGCTTTAAATAAAAATGAAATCATATAATATATACATTATGTACAAATATTGTGCATATATGCATAGTATATTTCTTTTCATGTATTAATATGTCATGAACATCTTCCCATGTCAATAAATAATAAGCTACATGATCATTTTTAATAGCTACATGGTATCCCACAGATGCTTACTCTAGGTGTTCTTTAGCTGGAGTAGGGGCAGCAGAAATTTCCCGAGGAGAAACTGTTAAGAAAGCATTTTTCTTAGGGGCTATCTCCATTTCACTGTAGTGCTGGCACCTTTTAAAAATCTTCCATCATTCCAATTCCCAGAAAAGTTTATAAAGTAGTCCATAAAATATCTAAAATTATATCTTTTCAAAGATCAGCCAAAAAAATAAGGAAATAGAAAACCCAGAGGTCAGGTCTAATAGACAATGAATCATGTAATATACACAGAAAAGAACTAAATAAAGAAGCTCGCTGTCTTGAAGGGAGCAGAGGTAAAAATTATAGAAGAAAACAGAAGAATAGCCCTTGAGGTAAGAAAAAGAAGGCAAATATGAAAGGACGCTCCAGACCTTGAAGATTACAGTATACAATACAGGGGAGGAGTACTAAAAAGCAAAACAAAGGGATAAGAAAGCAAAGCAAAGTACAAATCAATATTTACATGTTTTCTTAAATCAGAACAAACTTTTAATTATGACATGATACATATTTAATATTTTGGATGTGATATAATTCATATATATGTAATGAATAAACATTATTATAAATAATAATAAAATCAAACATCACAGACCCACCATTCAGCCTAAAAAATCAAACATTACTAATATGGGTAATGTATGTGTTCTTTTGTAAACATGAATCCTGCCCAAGCTGAGTCCATCTGTAGGAGATGGGATGGAGGTATGTCTGATAAAGTACTGGGGCAGGCAAAAGGAAAGTCTCCTTGCTTGAAGGCTAAGATGTCTCCTATTAAGAACTTAAGTTGAGTGCACTATCAGGAGCCAGAGTTTCTGGACATGTCTAGTAAACTGGTAGCAAGGTCCAACACAAATCTCTTTGCAGAGGTCCTGAGAAATCTCTTAACAGAACAACTCATCCTACAAGAAGAAAATCCAGGCATGAACTGCAGGATCCAGGAACAAAACCTGAATTATCAAAGAGAAGTGGCGATTCTAAATATAGCCTGGGAGCTGTGAGGCAGACTTTGGGTGCAAGTTTAATTTCAATGGTACTGCAAAATAAAAGATTATTCTTTCTCTATATTCTGTAACACACTAGAGCCCGGACAACACTGCTTTAACATACCACCAAGAGACTGTGACAAAGGAGAGAGAGCCATTCTTTCTCACTCTGCCAAGGTCAACCGTGGCCTCAGGAGGGCTCAAGATGCACAGCAGGAGGACATGGGGAAGCCAGTGTTACCACCAGAAACACAGAGAGCTTCCCTGGCACCTAGAAAAGTGAAGTAGCAGCATGCCTGCCTGTCAGCTCAAGTATCATTTCAATATATGGGGACACTCTACTGGAATTGTCAAAATATTTGAAAGAAAAGTTGGTAGAGGTTTGGACTTCCTGTATCTGAGAAGCTAGTGAAATTGAGGTATTGATGGTCATGTGCCTCCATATTCATCCTCAGGCTGGTGAGGTCTGAGGAAATTTCAAGTTATAACCACGTTAGCAGATAACCCAGCGTAGAAGTAAGGTACTGCATGGGGAATGCAGGGATAATTCAGTTTGCCTGGAACTTAGGATCTCTGCAAGTTACTGGAGGATGTCTGGGAAACAAGGCTACTCTCAAGTTCTATGAGACCTGGAAAGCCAGGCTAAGGGACATGGACTTATAAGGCTTACTCAGTCCTGCTGAAAATGTTTTAACACACAGTGGCATGCCCAGCACTGTGTTTTAGGAAGATTAGTTTGTCAGCATATAAAAAGAGGTCATAAAATGGGGAGAGTGGAGATCAGAAGAGCAGTCATAAGATCACTAAAAGAGTCCGGATGAAATGAAGGAAGCATGGTGGCAGTGGGACAGATTCTAGAGCAACCATAAAATAGAATCAATGAGGACTGGGCACTACATCCAACACATCATTAAATGATGTTTGCAAATCATGATAAACGATGCAACTCGAATATATATGAAACTTGCTGAAGTTTAATGCCTTTGAAAGTGAAACCACAATAGCACCTAGAAAATACGTCATTATGGAAGGTCAGTGTTGTTGTAACTATAGTACAAAACCCTTAACAGATAAACACATTCTTCACATACATCCTATATTTTTCCCTTTTTATTTATCTAAAAGAAAAAATGTCCTAAAAGGAGAGACAGAAACATGTCAATTTCCGAGACCTTCAGATTGCTAGCCTGGTCATATGAAGAGAAATCTGAAAATCATGCTGTGCTTTATTCTAAAGAATCTGAGAAGCCAGACTTCAAGTGCCATATCTCCATCCAGACTGTGTGTTGGGGATTTGAGTGAGATTTCAGGTGGGTCCCTGATCACATGCCTACCGGACATCGACATCCGCGGTCAGAACTGCTGTCCCACAGCACTGCAGGCAAGGAGACTATTTTTAAAGTGCTGGCGGTGGCACCTTTGGCCCTATGAGTAGACTTCAAGAGGAGGACATGCCTAGCATTTTCCTGACAAGAGAGCCATGAGCTCTGTTTTGAGATGGTGGTGTCCCCTGTTTAGAGAAAACAGATTTGTACATTGATTGAATGGTTCATTCTAAGCAATTCCAAAGAGATGAAGGAGAAAGTGGCCTCTCCAATAATGACCCCATTCTAGCAACTCCTCTCCTGTTGGAAAGCAACCACCAAATCTTAACTGAATGGCCGATGGCCCACTAGCCGATCCAGCACCCTTCTAACCTGTGTCTCGGGATTATCATGTGTGAGTATAGAGAGCATGTGGCAAGGTGCAGGAGGGGACAACTCTTTTAACTTCCTCTTTTAACTTGTTTGAACGTTAATACATTTATACTTTAGCCAAGAGGGTTTTTTGTTTGTTTACTTTAGAAGAACAACCTGTGCTTCTTATAAAACAGGATGCAACAAAATAAAAATGTAAGAAAAGTGAGAATCCTTCCCCTTCATGACCCACTCTTTTGCCAGGCTCATCGTCTCTCTCCCTCTCTGTCTCATCATATGGTACATACTAATCTGAAAATTGCTTATGTTACTCAAACATACCTTAGGACTATGCTTTTGTGTCAATATATACAACTACATCTTGTTCTTTTAGATCCCCACGTAATGTTCTATAGGATGTGCACACCATAATGTATTTAACCATCCCCTAGTAATAGACATTAGATAGTCTCCAATGTTCATTTTTACAAACAATGCTATCATAAGTCTGTCCTTGACTGTACACGTTCATATACTTTTATAAGTCCTCCTATAGGAGGAATTCTTAAAAGTTGAATGACAGAACTCCTGTCTCCTATGCACTACACTCCCACGCTGGTCAAATTTCCGTCACACACCAGACTTCAAAGTCAGGCATCCACTGTCTCTTTCTCCCCCACTCACATCCACTTCCAACTTTCTTTTTTTTTTTTTTTTTTAAGATTTTATTTATTTGACAGAGAGAGACACAGCAAGAGAGGGAACACAAGTAGGGGGAGTGGGAGAGGGAGACGCAGGCTTCCCCCGGAGCAGGAAGCCCGATGTGGGGCTCGATCCCAGGACCCTGGGAACATGACCTGAGCCAAAGGCAGACGCTTACCGACTGAGCCATCCAGGCACCCCCACTTCCAACTTTCATCTACACGCTGCCCTTAGCTGGTTTCACTGGAGGCATGCCCCTTTGTTTTATGCTCAGGGGATCTGGCCAAGCAAAAAGAAGCAAGAATTCATGTCATAAATATAAAACAAGCTTTCAAAAGGATGGTCTAAAAAGAGCCTACTGAGAAATGGTAGATAAGGAAGTGGTACTGTGAGATCATAAAGTAGACTGAACGTCTTCTCAGAGTCCCCAGTAGTTCTTAGTTTTGATTCCTCATCTCAGTGCTGGGTAGGAAGAATTTCTACATATTTTAGTAGATTCTCTTTCCTAACCAATAGCTCCTTCATTAGGCAACTTGTTCCAGGAGAAGCAGACGGGCTGGTGCCAACGGTTGGCGATACATGTTTTGAGGTTCCTTTGGAAGCCACATGTCATTTGATCCCTGCAACCATCCTGGGAGGGGTAGGTGCTATGACAGGGGCTCAGCAATGAGGAGGTGACTTGCCCAGCTAGTGAGTGAGGACCAGGGTTCTGAGACAGGTCACCCTGACACCAAAGCCCACATTTCTTTTACTATTTGAGAAACTTTCCGTAGTCTTACTCCAGACCATTTCCTCCAGTTAAGTGGTTAGGCGAACTCCTTGCACAAGTGCACCTCCTCCCTAGAATCCGGAAGAGAAAACCATTCAGTTTCTTCTGGGTTGGAACATGGTCTGTTTATTTCTTGAATTATTTTTGTCTTCCAACCTTAGGTAAAATTTCAATAAGCAATAGAAAACCTTCAGTTGAAATTGGCCCATGGGAAAGCAGAGACTGAGTAAGATACAGCTTTGTCTCTAAAAGTCCTTCACTCCTTACAGCATGTGATAGAACATGAAGGCAGAACCCAAGTTCAACTGAGGACTGAGGGATGGGCAGAGCACCACCTATTCTTAGGAAAAATAAATTATCACACTGAATGGTAGAGTTGAAGGCTGACTAATCTTTGGTTATTTGACCTTGGAGTAAAGCAAATGGAAATAGGTTGAAACTTTTTTTTTTTTTGAACATGTGTATTTCCAGAGAAATTCATGCCTAACAAACAATAAGAGCCTGTGATTACTTAGCCATTAAGGCAATCCACAGACTCTTAAATCCAGGAGGTATAAAATGATCTTGTTATTGATACAGCCCCCCACTGAGAGCTTTCTCTCCAAAGCCTTTTTATTTTTTATTATTTTTTAAATTTATTATTTTTAATTCCAATATAATTAATGTACACTGTTATATTAGTTTCAGATGTACAATATGGTGATTCAACAATTCTGTACATTACTCAGTGTTCATCATGGTAAGTGTACTCTTAATCCCCTTTATCTATTTCACCCAACCGCCCCCCACCCAGATGCCTTCCCTCTCGCAATAACTGGTTTGTTCTCTATATTTGAGAGTCCGTTTTTTTGTTTGTCTCTTTTTTGCTTTGTTCATTTGTTTTGTTTCCACATGTGAGTGAAATTGTATGGTATTCATCTTTCTCTGACTTATTTCACTTAGCATTTACCCTCTAGATCCATCCATGTTGTTGGAAATGGCAAGATTTCGTTCTTTTTTATGGCTGAATAATATATGTTATTCATATATATATACATATATGTATATATAAAATACTCCACATTTTCTGTATCCATTCATCTATCAGTGGACATTTGGGTTCCTTCTATATTTTGGCTATTGTAAATAATGCTGCAGTAAACACAGAGGTGCATATACCTTTTCAAATTAGTGTTTTGTATTCTTTGGGTAATAGCCAGTAATGGAATTACTGGATTATATGGTAATTCTGTTTTTAATTTTTTGAGGAATCTTCATACTGTTTTCCACAGTGGTTGTACCAGTTTGCATTCCCACTAACAGTGAGCAAGAGTTCTTTTTTCTCCACATCTTCACCAACACTTACTGTTTCTTGTGTTTTTGATTTTGGTTGTTCTGACATGTGTGAGGTGATATTGTGGTTTTGATTTGCATTTCTCTGACGATTAGTGATGTTGAGCATCTTTTCATGTGTCTGTCGGCCATCTGGATGTCTTCTTTGGAATAATGTCTGTTCATGGTTTCCTCCCATTTTTTAATTGGTTTATTTGGCTTTTTGGTGTTGAGCTGTTGAGTTCTTCATATATTTTGGATAGTAACTGCTTATTGGATATATCATTTGCAAATATATTCTCCCATTCAGTATATTGTCTTTTTGCTTTGTTGATGATTTCCTTTGCTGTGCAGAAGCTTTTATTTTCACGTAGTCCCAATAATTTATTTTTGCTTTTGTTTCCCTTGCCTCGGGAGACATATCTAGAAAAATGTTGCTATGGCTGATGTCAGAGACATTACTGCCTATGATCTCTTCAAGGATTTTTATGGTTTCGGGTCTCACATTTAGGGCTTTAATCCGTTTTGACTTTATTTTTGTATATGGTGTAAGAAAGTGGCTCAGTTTTATTCTTTTGCATGTTAGCTGTCCAGTTTTCCCAATACCATTCGTTGAAGAGACTGTCTTTTTCCCATTGCATATTCTTGCCTCTTTGGCCAAAGATTAATTGATGATCTATCTAATCATGGGTTTATTTCTGGGCTCTCTGTTCTGTTCTCTTGATCTGTGTGTCTATTTTTGTGCCAGTATCATAATCTTTTGATTACTACAGCTTTGTAGTATATCTTGAAATCTGTGTACCTCCATGTTCATTTTCAAGATTTCTTTGGCTATTTGGGGTCCTTTGTGGTTCCATACAAATTTCAGGATTATTTGTTCTAGTTCTGTGAAAAATGCTGTTTGTATTTTGGTAGGGATTGCATTAAATCTGTAGATGGCTTTGGGTAGTATGGACATTTTAACAGTATCTGTTCTCCCAATCCATGAGCAAGGAATAGCTTTCCATTTGTTTGTGTCACCTTTAATTTCTTTCATCCTTGTTTTATTGTTTTCAGAGTACAAATCTTTCATCTCCTTGGTTTATTCCTAGGCATTTTATTATTTCTGGTGCAATTGTAAATGGGATTGTTTTCTTAATTTCTTTTTCTGCTACTTTGATATTACTGTATGGAAATGCAACATATTTCTGTATATTGATTTTGTGTCCTGCGACTTTAGTGAATTCAGGTATCAGTTCTAGTCAGTTTTTGGTGGAGTCATTAGGGTTTTCTATATATAGTATCATGTCATCTGCAAATAGTGAAGGTTTTATTTCTTCCTTACCAATTTGGATGCCTTTCTTTTTCTTGTCTGGTTGCTGTGGCTAGGACTTCCAGTACTATGCTGAATGAAAGTGGTGAGAGAGGACATCCTTATCTTGTTCAGATCTTAGGGGAAAAGTTTTCAGTTTTTTATCATTGAGGATGATGTTAACCATGGGCTTTTCATATTATGGTTTTATTTTAAGGTATGTTGCTTCTAAACCTACTTTCTTGAGGATTTTTATCATGAATTTGTCATGTACTTTGTCAAATGCTTTTTTTGCATCTATTGAAATGATCATATGGTTTTTATCCTTTCTCCTGTTGATATGATGTCTCACATTGATTAATTTTCAAATACTGAGCCACACATACATCCCAGGAATAAATCGTACTTGATCATGGTGAATGATTTTTTTAATGTATTGTTGGATTTGGTTTGCTAATTGTTGAGGATTTTTGCATCCATGTTCATCAGAAATATTAGCCTGTAGTACTACAGGCTACACTACAAAAATGTAGTGTTTTTATCTGGTTTTGGTATTAGGGTAATGGTGGCTTCATAGAATGAATTTGTAAGCTTTCCTTCCTCTTCTATTTTTTGAAATAGTTTGAGAAGAATAGGTATTAACTCTTTTTTAAATGTTTGGTAGAATTCAGGGCACCTGGATGGCTCAGTCGGTTAAGCATCTGCCTTTGGCTCAGGTCATGATCTCAGGGTCCTGGGATTGAGCCTCACTTCAGGCTCCCTGCTCAGCGGGGAGTCTGCATCTCCCTCTCTCTCTGCGCCCCCCCCCCCACTTTCATGCGTGCTCTCTCTCTCTCAAATAAATAAAGTTAATCATTTTTTAAAGATTTTATTTATTTATTTGACAGAGAGATAGACAGTGAGAGAGGGAACACAATCCCAAATAAAGTTAATCTTTAATAAATAAATATTTAATAAATATATATGGTAGAATTCACCTGTGAAGCCATCTGGTCTTGGACTTTTGTTTGTTAGGAGTTTTTTGATTACTGATTCAATTTCATTGCTAGTAATTGGTCTGTTCAATTTTTCTATTTTTTCCTGATTCAGTTTTCAGAGGTTATATGTTTCTAGGAATTTATCCATTTTTCTTCTAGATTATCCAACTTTTTGGCATATAATTTTTCATAATATTCTCTTTGTATGTTTCTGAGTTGTCAGCTGTTATTTCTCCTCCTTCATTTCTGATTTTGTTTGAGTCCTCTCTCTTTTTTCTTTTTTTTAAAGATTTTATTTATTTTATTTGAGAGAAAGAAAGAGAGAGCGAGCAGCGGGAGGGGAAGAAGGAGAGAGAGAGACTGAGAATCACAAGCAGACTCTGCACTGAGCGTGGAGCCCAACTCGGGGCTCAATATCATGACCCTGAGATCATGACCTGAGCCAAAATCAAGAGTCAGATGCTTAACTGACTAAGCCACCCAGGTACCCTCTCTTTTTCTTTTTCATGAGTCTGGCTAAAAGCTTATCAATTTTGTTGTTCTTTTCAAAGAACCAGCTCCTGGTTTCATTGGTCTGTTCTTTGTTTTTTAAGTTTCTATTTTGTTTATTTCTGCTCTAATCTTTATTATTTCATTCCTTCTACTGATTTGGGGTTTTGTTTGTTCTTCTTTTTCTAGCTCCTTTAGGTATAAGGTTAGATTGTTTATTTGAGATTTTTCTTGTTTCTTGAGGTAGGCCTGTATGCTATAAATTTCCCTCTTAAAATGGCTTTTGCTGCATTCCAAAGTTGGACAGTTGTGTTTTCATTTTTATTTGTCTCCATGTATTTTTTTAAATTTCCTCTTTGATTTCTTGGTTGGCCCATTCATTGTTTAGTAGCATGTTATTTAACCTCCATGTATTTGGGTTCTTTTCAGATTTTTTTCTTGTGGTTGATTTCTAGTTTCATAGTGCTCCGGTCAGAAAAGAGGCATGGTATGACTTTGGTCTTTTTGAATTTGTTGAGACTTGTTTTGTGGCCTAACATGTGATCTATTCTGGAGAATGTTCCATGTGTACTTGAAAAGGATGCATACTCTGCTGTTTTAGGATGGAATGTTCTGAATATGTCTGTTAGATCCCTCTAGTCCAATGTGTCATTCAAAGCCACTGTTTCCTTATTGATTTTCTGTTTGGAGGATCTATCCATTGATGTAAGTGGGGTGTTAACGTCCCCTACTATTATTGTTATACTCTCATTTACTTTCTTTATGTTTGTTAGTAGGTGTCTTACGTATTTGGGTCCTCCCATGTTGGGTGTAGAAATTTTTACAGTTGTTATATCTTCTTATTGGATTGTTCCCTTTATGATTATGTAGTGTCCTTCTTTGTCTCTTGTTATAGTCTTTGTTTTAAAGCCTATTTTGTCTAATACAAGTATTGCTGCCCCGGCTTTCTTTTCACCTCTATTTTCATGATAAATATTTTTCCATTTCTTCACTTTCAATCTTCATGTGTCTTCAGGTCTGAAATAAGTCTCTTAGAGGCAGCAAATAGGTGTGCCATGCTTTTTTTTTTTTTAATCCATTCCATTACCCTATGTCATTTGATTGGAATGTTTAGTTCATTTACATTCAAAATAATTATTGATAGGTACATACTTACTGCTATTTTGTTACATGTTTTACTGCTGCTTTTGTTTTTCTCTGTTCCTTCCTTCTCTTGCTCTCTTTTCCCATGGTTTGCTGGCTTTCTTTAGTGATATACTTGGATTCCTTTATTTTTTTTGCGTATCTATTACTGCTTTTTTTATTTGTGATTACCATTAGGCTTATATATAACATCTTGTGCAAAAAACAGTCTGTATTAAGTTGATGGTGTCTTAAGTTTGAATCCGTTCTCTTTTTTTTTAATTTTATTTTTAAGTACTCTCTACATCCAGTGTGGGGCTTGAACTCACAACCCTGAGATCAAGAGTCATATGCTCTACCAACTGAGCCAGGCAAGTGCCCCTGAGTCCATTCAAAAGGCACTAAATTTTTACTCCTCTCCTCCCATATTTTAGGTATATTGTGTCATACTTTATATCCTTTTATTTTGTGACTCCCTTGACTGATTTTTATAGATATACTTAATTTAATTTAATTTATTTTTTAAAATAAGTAAATTGGCTGTGGAGCCCAACATGGGGCTTGAACTCATGACCCTGGGATCAAGACCTGAGCTCCAATCAAGATTCAGATGCTTAACTACTGGGTATTTACCCCAAAGACACAGATGTAGTGAAAAGAAGGACCGTATGCACCCCGATGTTCATAGCAGCAATGTCCACAATAGCCAAACTGTGGAAAGAGCCGAGATGCCCTTCAAAAGACGAATGGATAATGAAGATGTGGTCCATATATACAATGGAATATTATTCAGCCATCAGAAAGGATGAATACCCAACTTTAACATCAATATGGATGGGACTGGAGGAGATTATGCTAAGTGAAATAAGTCAAGCAGAGAACGTCAATTATCATACGGTTTCACTTATTTGTGGAACATAGGGAATGGCATGGAGGACATTAGGAGAAGGAAGGGGAAAATGAAGGGGGTGGGAAATCGGAGGGGAAGATGAACCATGAGAGACTATGGACTCCCAAGAAACAAACTGAGGGTTTTAGAGGGGAGGGTGGTGGTGGAATGGGTTAGCCCGGTGATGGGTATTAAGGAGGGCACATATTGCATGGAGCACTGGGTGTTATATGAAAACAATGAATCATGGAACACTACATCAAAAACTAATGATGTACTATATGGTAACTAACATAACATAATAAAATAAAATAAAATTGAAAAAAAAAAGAGTCAGATGCTTAACTGACTTAGCCACCCAGGCGTCCCTGGATATACTTTTTTACCACTTTTGTGCTTCCTAGTTTTCTTACTCCTGCTTATGGTCTTTCCACTCAAAGAGTCCCCTTTAACATTTCCTGTAAGGCTGATTTAGTTATGATGAATTCCTTTAACTTTTGTTTGTCTAGAAAACTCTATCTCTCCTTCTATTTTGGAACAATAGCCTTGCTGGACAGAGTATTCTTGATGGCAGGTTTTTTTTTTTCTTTCAGCACTTTGAAAATATCACACCACTTTCTTCTGGCCTGCAAAGTTTCTGCTGAAAAATCAGCTGATAGCCTTATGAGGTTTCCCTTGTATATAACTGTTTTCTTTTCTCTTGTTGCTTTTAAAATTCTCTCCTTATCACTACATTTTAATTACTATGTGTCTTGCTGTGGACCTCTTTGGGTTGATTTTGTTAGGGTCTCGCTGCATCTCCTTGATCTGGATTTCTGTTTCCTTTCCTAGGTTAGGGAAGTTTTCAGCTCTTACTTCCTAAAATAAATTTTCTGCCACTTTTTCTCTCTTCTCCTTCTGGGATTCCTATAATATGGATGTTGTTATGCTTGATGGTGTTGCAGTGTTCCTTTAACCTATTCTCATTTTTTATTAATCTTTTTTCTTTCTCATGTTCAACTTGGTTGCTTTCCATTACTCTGTCCTCTGGGTCACTGATCCATTCTTCTGTTTCCTCTAGTCTACTATTTATTCCATCTGGTACATTTTTAATGTCAGTTATTGAGTTCTTAATCTTTGATTGGTTCTTTTTTATGTTTTCTATCTCTTTATAGAGGTCCTCACTGAGATCCTTCACTCTTTTCTCAAGTCCAGTGAGTATCTTTTTTAAAAGATTTTATTTATTTATTAGAGAGATTAAGAATGAGTGATGGAGAGGGGGAGAGAGAGAAAGAAGAGAGGTGAAGCAGACTCCCTGCTGAGCAGAAAGCCCAATGCAGGGCTCGATCCCAGGACCTGGAGATCATGATCTGAGCCGAAGGCAGACGCTTGACCAACTACGCCCAGGCACCCCTCCAGTGAGTATTTTTATGACCATTACTTTAAATTCTCTATCAGGCATATTACTTATCTCTATTCCATTTAGCTCTCTTGCTGTGATTTTGTCCTGTTCTTTCATTTGAGATATATTCCTCTGTCTCCTCATTTTGTCTAACTATCTGTGTCTGTTTCTATGTGTTAGGAAAGTCAGCTGTCTCCTACTCTTGCAAGTAGTGGCCTTATGAAGAAGAGGTCCTGTGGTGCCCCGCAGTGCAATGTCCCCTCTTCACCAGAACCTGGTGCTTCAGAGGTATCTCCTATGTGTGTTGCATGCACCTTGCTGCTGTGGCTGAGCTTTTTCCTTCTGTCCAGTCATCTTCAGTGACTCTCTCTTCTCCTGTTGTGGTCAGGGTCCTCATGTTGTTAATGGGCCATCTGGGGCCGTGTTTGCTTGAGTTGGGTCAGACCAGGCATTTGCCAGAGCTGTGGTGGCACTGAACTGCAGGGTGCTCTCCCTGTGTTATCCCCTGGGGGGCTTTCATTGGTAGGTGGGGCCTGCAGTTAGACCAGCTGTCTGCCCCCAGCCCACTGCTGGGGCTACAGTCAAACTGGTATGTGTGGTTATTTTCCCCTCTCTCTGGGGCAGGAATCACTTTGGTGTGGTACTGGCCCCTATCAGGGCTGTTCACACTTGTGGTACCACACCAAAGTCCTTTTTAGATATGGCCGCATTTGTTAGTGGACAAGGGGTGACCTCCAGATAATACACCATTGTTAACCAGATGAGCTTGCTCACACTTCTGGCAAGAAAAGGAAATCTTGTGATTCCTGCCTATTAAGATGTGCATGCTATGGAACAGAGGCCCCTGTGTAATGTTTCCTATGTTGCCTTATTCTGAATGAGTTTAAATTGTTTTTATTATAGTTATCCTCTTCTTCTCTACCATTCTATATCAGGGTATTGGGATGATCGAACATCTATTAGCAGCAATTCATCTAACCATGTGGAGCTATACCCAGATCTGAGAGAACTGAACACCATCAGGGGTCCTTATGTCAAAGTTAAATCAAGCAACTTGATAATGCTTTGGATGATCTCCTTTAAGTAGAGAGGCAGAGCTGGACAACAGAAACCAAAAGCACCCCATGCACAGCAGAGAATCATATCTAGCCTTACAGTATGAAATGGGAGCTGGGGCAGAGCTTACCCACAGGGAAAGGAGTTGGTGTAAACTACATGTGGTGGTTGGAGGAGGCAGAAAATACCATGTGGACAAGAGCTGGTAAGTTCTGCGCTGGCTGCATGACTGGATCCTATCACTACAGGACAGGAGCCCTGAACTTACAATTGTACACCTAGTTCTTGATTGCAGGTCCTGAAACTAGTGGAAGTCAGTTTCAGAAATGCCTGAACAGGATAGACTTAGGACAGAGCAAAGGAGAAAAGAAACTTCTATTCAAGATAAATGTTCAAATAAAATTATCAGGACATATAATGAGAATGAATAGAAATAACCAGCTAATGAACTCAATAATGGAGAAATTAATTCACTCCTCATAAAATGCAACTAGTATTCCACTCTCAAAATTACTTTAAAATAAGTACATTTCAGAAATTCAAGAAAATAAGTGAAGCAATAATATACTTGTAAAAAGACAAGAAAATGTAAGAAAAAGGCAGCTTAAATTGAGAACCAACAGGCATGGAGAAGAACCAATTAGAAATCCTGTAGATGAAAAATATAGTCCTGGAAATAGAAACACATGGTGAACTGGATATACAGGCAGCTCTCACTTTTCACAGTGTAGTGTTAACCCAACTTATGCACATCAGAACTATGTCCTCACTTGCATCCTTCTGTGATCATTGAGGACACAGGCACAAATTTCTTTTTTTTTTAATTTTATTTATTTATTTGACAGAGAGCACAAGTAGGCAAAGCGGCAAGCAGGGAGAGAGGGAGAAGCAGGCTCTGCACTGAGCAAGGAGCCCGATGTGGGGCTTGATCCCAAGACCCTGGGATCATGATCTGAGCTGAAAGCAGCTGCTTAACCAAACCAACTGAGCCACCCAGGCACCCCAGATAGGCACAAATTTCTTAACATGGTACCATACAAGGCAAGGATGGCCTGGACCCTAGGCTGGACAAAGTCAAAGAAAGAATTTGTGAATATTGGAAGCTAGTGCAAGAATTCACTGATAGTAAACACAGACCAGTAAAGATATTAAAACATGAATGGAAAACTAAGAGACATAGGGGCTAGATTAAAGCGCTCTAATACACATTTTTTTAGGCTCTAGAAGAATAGAATGGAATAGAGAGACTATTAAAGGGTCAATAATTGAAGAAAAACGTTAGTTTTCAGATTTTTTTTAAAAAGTGCATATTAAGGGGCACCTGGGTGGTGCAGTTGGTTAAGCAACTGACTCTTGGTTTCTGCTCAGGTCGTGATCTCAGACTCATGAGATGGAGCCCTGAGTCAGGCTCTGGGCTCGGTGTGGAATCAGCTTCAGATTCTCTCTCCCTCTGCCCTTCCTGCTTATGCACTCTCTCTCTCTCTCTCTGTCTAAAATAAATAAATAAATGGTTTTTTTAAAGTGCATATTAAGTGGGACACCTGGGTGGCTCAGTTGGTTGAGCATCTGACTCTTGATTTCCGCTCAGGTCATGATCTTGGGGTCGTGAGATAGAGCCCCAAGTCTGGCCCTGTGCTTAGCAGGGAGTCTGCTTGGAATTCTCTCTGCCCTGTCCCTCTGCCCCTCTGCCCTGTGTGCTCTCTGTCTCTTAAATAAATCTTTTTTTTTTTTTAAAGTGCGTACTAAGTGATGAAAGAGGAGGGCTGGGAGGATTGCAATAAACAAGTAAAGCCTGTCCATTTTCAGGCATAGAGCATTAAAATTCAAGACTTAGGGGAAAAAATATGTCTGTAGAGGCATGGTTTTAAAGATGGACTCAAATTATACTCCTAAATATAACATTTGACATCTTAATCTAGAGTATTACCATTTAAGTCATTGTGTAAATGAAGGAATCCATTCAAAGACCTTTCCAAAACATCTAACCCAAAGTAAATGAAAATTTTCACTCCCGAAAACAGATACTGGTAGCATCTTTTAAATGACATTTCAGTGTCTTACAAACAAAAACCAGTGGTCCCACCAGGTACTCCATTATATCCACCTTCTCAGCATCAGTAGCATTAATGTGCACACATATAGAGGGGGGAATCCTATCGTCTTGTAGCATACACCCAAGGACCTTTGATTCACTGGTATGTGACAGGGTGGTGTTGGATATAAATAGACTAAACCACCCATGTATTCTTTTTCAAGTACATTTTGCCTTCTAAGATTTGACACAAACTTTGTTTTTAATACTTCTGACTCGCTTTTCAGGAGAGGAAATTTTGAATCCATTTTTCAGGATGATTTGTTTCTTGAAGGCAATATTCTGCTCTGCCACTTGAGTTTAAGCTACCATAGGTGATGGAGGACAATAACATAATATATGGCTCAAGTGGTTCTCATGTTATAAAATGATTCTTTACACTTTTATGCTGGCTGAGTGGTATGCCACTGGTTTACCACCACCTGAGTCCAGTGCTGTTCGTAACGACGCACTGATACGTCTGATCCATGCAATGACTGCTCCTTAGTGCTGGCTGCCCCCCTCTTCTCATTTCTCTACTTTCTTTTTCTCTCTCTTGTTGTCTCTCATTTCTCCTGGGTTCCTCCCAAGCTTCTCAGCTTTTGGCCAAAACAACAACATGAATAGATGTCATAAGAAAGTATTTCAAGTTCATGTAAGTGAACGTTGCCATTGAGAGCTACCAGAGATTTTTTTTTTTAATTTTATTTATTTATTTGAGAGAGAGAGAATGAGAGACAGAGAGCATGAGAGGGAGGAGAGTCAGAGGGAGAAGCAGACTCCCTGCCGAGCAGGGAGCCCGATGCGGGACTCGATCCCGGGACTCCAGGATCATGACCTGAGTCGAAGGCAGTTGCTTAACCAACTGAGCCACCCAGGTGCCCCGAGATTTTTTTTTTTTAAGATTTATTTATTTATTTGAGAGAGCGAGAATGAGAGAGAGAGAGTACATGAGAGGGGGGAGGGTCAGATGGAGAAGCAGACTCCTTGCTGAGCAGGGAGCCCGATGCAGGACTCAATCCCGGGACTCCGGGATCATGACCTGAGCTGAAGGCAGTCACTTAACCAACTGAGCCACCCAGGCGCCCCGCTACCAGAGATTTTTGCCAAGTCACAGTGATCACCAGACCTGTTTGAGAACCTAAAGAAGAAAGAGAAAAACAGTGCCCATAAAGACCTGTCAAGTATCCAATAATGTACATGGTTTCTCCAGTCATTCCGTATACATCCCCATCGCCTGGACCCATTGCTGCATATGTCTCCTTATTTTAACCCTTGTTTTCCCAGATCTCTGCTGTTCAGTGGTAGGACTTTAGATTCTTTCTAGTTCCCATTGTGAGTTGGATCAATTGCAATATCTCTCCAGGTCATTGATTAGCTTCTCTGTTTCACTTGAAAAGTAGACATTCTCTATTTCCTCCTCCAGATCCACTCTCCACCCTTCTCTATCTATACTCAGGAATCTTGACTTCATCATCCACTTGGCCCCATGATACACTGGCTTCTTGCTGGGTTCAGCCAATAGGGGAGCTGGCATGAGTTGGGAGGTTAATAGGAGAGGCCAAGATATTCATACCTCAGCTGCAAAGCTAAAGCTGATGAAGCTTAAACTTTAGAGTTCCTCACCTGTCAAACTTCTGGGAAGAGTTCTCACGATGTGTTTACATGTAATGTATTCTCATCAAATTAGAAAGGGTAAGATA